CCCAAACATAACTCCCCCCTTTTTAAACGCCGACACCCGCCTGCCTTGGAACCTATCACCAATAATACAGGTGGAAATATTTCTACTGTTTCACTACTGTCTCATTAGGTCCAGAAAGATGTTAGTATGACTCAGGCTCATGGGGATCATGATGTGCAACGACCTACAACTGTCCGACCACCTTTGGAATCTACTGATCAAATGAGTCAATCATCAGAAGAGGAATGACAGGTCTACACGTCCAGGAGAAAGAAGAAGAATGAAAATCTACTTGAGTTCAAGAATCTGATAGATGATACTTTGGTTACTACGGGCAATGATACTCACCTTACTAATTTGTTAGCCGGCTCACTTCCGAGAACTAGAGGCAGGAGGACTAAAGTAGGATGTCCCTAGACTTTTGTGCCCTTTTGTGGTTTTTTGGTTTTTTTTCCTTTATGTATCTTTGCTTTACTTGAGTTTTGTGCGTATTTTTTTGTATGACTTAGGCTTTCTTTTAGGCCCTCTCATGCAACATTTCTGTATCTTATATATATATATATATATATATATAAAATCAATTAAATAAAATTATTGAATTTTTACCTTCTACAAATTGGTCGAGCCCTAAATCATGCACACAACCCCTCTGCGCAGAAGAGCTCTAGCTTCGACTCCCTCCAAACAAGCTTCCTCGGCTACAACAGTCGACGTTACCTACCTCACTTGCTTGGCAGTGCATAAGAGTTCCACTATAGATGCCACAACATATTTCTCTTCAACTACTTCGATCGTGGCTCGAAATTGACGCTGACTCCTCCTGTGCTACGCTCGAGCCTCCCACGTTGTCGCTTTCTTCTCCTCTTCTATGATGACCGGCTAGAGCCTAGTCGAGTGCCCTCACGCATAGAGCTTCCTTTTCTCATGCTTCCTTTCTTCTGTGAGCACCGCCACGTTGCCCTAGCCTGCTCGATACAATCGGTAAGTCCACTTCAACAAATTTATAGAGCGAAAGCATTCCTTGTGTTCCAACACCTTTTGTTTCAACTTCCCGACTCCTCACTTCCTCTCTCCCTTCTGTTCGACTCTTCATTTCCTCTTCCCGCTCTTCGTTTCCTCTTTTTTGAGTAGCTGAAACAGGACATCACAATCTTCCCCACTTATAAAAAGTTCATCCTTGAAATCTAAAAATGAAACGCAAATCGCATGCCATTAAGCAGGTCAACATTAGCTATCCATAGATTTTTTTATCGGGCTCCCTTCTATAATTTCGAGTTTATTCCTATGCTTGAAAATATATAACTATTAATTTGAGTTAGCTTAAATATTTGTTTTATTATTATTAAAATTTTCTTAAAATTACTTAATTAGCTCTTTCATCAATATATCATTAATTAATCATAATTCTTGACTCTAATACCACTTTAGTCACAGCCTGACCTGAGATTTGTAATTAACCAAAGGTGTAAAACAGTTAGACAGTGAGAACAAAGTTTTTATATTTATTTAACATTTAACAAATGAAAGTGTCATTGATCATCGAGGGAGGGAGACGATGCTAATATCATGCATTTTTTGAGGTCTATTATGGAGCAGGACACTTGGTGCCAATGACCTCGAGAAGCACCAGATTTTCCTTTTCTTTTGTAACACCTAAAAGTTAAGAAACCGAGCAAAATTTGACAAATTTGATAAGTACCACAAATTTCACATCCTCTGAAATTCTATCAAATAATTTTATAAAATTCTAAACACAAAATCGATCAATTTGATAAAAAGCACTATATATAAATTATGATCGAATTAGAAAATAAAATATATAAGTTTTTAAGTTTAATGAACTTTAATAAACCTAATTATTCTAAATCTTCCTTACACACACTGGTCCACACCGACCTTCACGCCTTTTAATTGTCGGATCGATCGAATAGGGTCTCTAGAGCCTTAGAAATTTCTCTCAATATCCCTCTCCCTAATGGGTTCACTCCGCAATAGGCTCATCTGGAGGGGCTTCTGCTATTGTTACTGTAGTTGAGCACAAGCAATTAAGGGCGTGCAACCATAGGGAGGCCGCAACATACATTTAAAGCTTCAGGGACATATTTGGAAGGTAGGAACCTCTCTGTTATGCTATTTTATACATTTTTTTCCTCACACTTTTGTTGTGATATTTGTCTCAGTCTTTGTGCATTTTTTGGTTTTTGGTAGCCGTGAGGAAGCATCGAAATTATGTCGGAAGAGTTGAAAGTTGTTTGTGAGCTCCCATAAAGGTCTTTAGAATGAAAGCAGTGAAAAGATGGGGAGAGAATAGGTGGTTTCAGAAGGGAGGACTTATACCAAGAAGCCCTATTGAGGTATGTTTTGGCATTTAAGTTATATATTTTGTAAAATCATGAAACAAGCTAGGATTTCACGAATGCTTGTGATGCTTATAAATTCCCATGTTGTTTATACGAAGCGGCGAACTCGAGATGAACGTGTGGGAACTCGTCATAGGGTTATTCTATCAAGACGAGTGAAATAATTTTGTGTTAATTTAAGAAAAATAATCTTTTGTAAGTTTTATGTGATTATGTATTTGACACAGTTGCATTTAGATTTCTTACATATTATAGATGAATATCTATTTGAAATGTATGAATGTCAGTTGATTTTTCTTATGATACATGTGAGCTACTATAATACGATGTATATGACTATACTCATGAACTAATTATCTCTGGGTATTCATTTAATACGACTCATGCATGTGATATGAAATGCCTATTAATGTTTACTACATAATCTATTCTAAAATAAATCACGAGTAATGTTATAGTTAGATTATTACATTAGTGTCTGCAAGTCTATGTAATGATGTGATATTCCTGACTTCTATTCTATACATTAATGCTCCTAATCAATATCTCTATTTTAGGACCATATCCATACCTTCTCTGAAATGAATCTAATTGCTGATATTTGCATTTAATTTGCACTAAAATTACTTTTTAGGATATATCATGCTCCTCTTGCAACATTCACAATTTCTGGGTGACAAAACCTTCAACTACTTAATCTATGGAATTACCACTTCCAGACTCATATTAACATCTTTCATGTGACCGTAAGTTTGTGAGGGCGTGTTACTACATCTAAATTATTAGATGTGCTAATCATCTATAGTAAGAAAATGCACTATTTATTACTGTTACATTTCCTTATTATTGGTTCTTGTTAGTATATAGACGCAAATTTATTTGTAAATATGAAGACAAAAATGTAAATAATGTAATTTTTGGAATGAAAAGTAGAGTTCATACACTGGGTGATCAGATGCCTTAGCAGCGGCTCTTATGAGACAATAGCAAATTCCATTCAAGAAAGATGAAAATAAGCCAAGCAATACTGCATAAATAGTTTCGCCTCCAGTTATAGACACTGTATTGAACATATCAGTGGCTTCAGTTACGTTTCCTGAACAGAGACAAAATTGGTTTAGCTTGTGTAGTAAGCAGAAACATAAGTGACGAATTAATTTAAATTTTAACATATGCTAAAATTTTGGAGGCAAATGAAAAATACACAACATTGCCAAATAAAAGGATAAATAAATGACCAACTAGAATTGTGTGCAAACAAATGTAAATTAGATTTAACAACATAACTAGAATAGCCAAATTAAAATAATAAATGAATGTTCAATTGCTTCCAAAACTTTACATTTAGGGGTTGTTTGGTTTGATGTAAAATAAATGTAAAGTAAAAAAGCTGAAAGGTATGGCAGGATGTGTGTGTGTGTAAGTGGGTGGGAACAAGAAGATTGCTTGTCGATGCAAGCAATGTGCACATAGAAGAACAAGTTGCTATATTCCTATATATACTTATCTACAGTGTTCATAATCGAGTCATACAATTTGACTTTCAAATATCACGAGAAACTATTAGTAAGTATTTTAACAATTTATTATCGCCATTGGAGAGCTGCGGCATAAAATGATCAAGCCTACACTGATCCAAACTTCATATACGATACAAGAAAATACTAGATTTATGCCCTTTTTTAAGAAACAATTACACATAATATTTGAAGTTACATTTTATTTATAACATTTCTTCAAAATAATTACATGAATAGGATTGTGTTGGCATTATAGATGGTACACATTTTAAGATGAGAGTACACAAGAAGTATGAATCAGCATTTAGAGGAAGAAAACCAAATACATGTCAAAATGTGCTAGCAACAATGGACTTCGACATGAGGTTTATATATGTTTTAGCATGTTGGGAAGGTTTAGCCCATGATGCAGTTGCTCGTAGAAATGCATTAGAATGATCTGATGGTTTATGTGTTCCATAAGGTATATAAATTAGATCCATATAAAATTTCATAAGTAGTTACATTTGTTATTTAGTACAAGTTATTAATTAGTAAAAAATATGAGTATGTGGCTCCTTTTTTTCATCCAAGGTTTTTTGCTCAATTCTTTTTCATAAAGAAAGGTTAGGTGTTAGATATGTAAGAACATAAGAATTGTGGGGTATGTATGTGAATGCCTTTTCTAATTTTCAGCACAAGTTTGTTATTAGAAGTGTAGCCGGAGATCTGTTGTTTATTTTTAGGGGCATGAGCATTCATAGCACACAATACTTATGTATTTACATATCTCACACAAACCTTTAATATCACACTGAAATTAGCACTATTATCACTTTTTAAAAGTGAAATGTCTTTTCATACGTAAATTTAATATGGAGGATCTTGATGCTGAGGGCATTAAACTATAATGAGTTGGATGATGTATCCATTACAGCTCTGAGCTTGGGGAAGGAGTTCACTCATGTGATTGAAGCTAAACATACGGCTGCACAGGATGCTGAGAGGGCAAAGTTCATTGTGGAAAAAGCTGAACAAAAAAGTGTTATAATCAGAGCTCAGGTGAGCAGTAATTTTATGTGTGCCTCGCTGTTTTTGAAGTAAATCATTTTTGAATGAAAGATAAGATTTACAGACATAAAACACAATTTCATTTTAATGACCAGAGTTCAGAGTTAATCCCTTTTTTTAATGAAAAGAATCATAAAAAAAAATTGGCTCTGTTGTTTTCATGGAAAATAAATTATACATGAGAAATAACATAATATGTTCCCAGAGAAATAAATTTAGCGGCACTTACATATATACTACCCAATTCTTATGTGTTTACATATCTAACACCCAAATTTTGGTTCTTTTTTCCATTTATAACAACCAAATTGTTAAGAAAGGCAGAGGTAGACCTAGGAAGACTTGGGCATATTGTATAAAAAATGATCTTAATTTATTAGAATTAAATGAAAATATGACACTAAAAAATAGAATTAAATGAAAATATGACACTAAATAGGATGCAATGGAGAAGAAGGATTCATGTACTTATAGCCGGATAAAGGTTTTGTTGTTGTTGTGTTGTATTTATAACAGCCAAATATTTCATATCACATAAAAAGTACCACCATTTTAATTTTTAGAAAGTGAAATACACTTTTTCATGCATAGGTAAGGTGGTATATATGTGAAAATTCAACTTTAGGTGTTAGATATATAAATATCTAAGAATTGAGTGGTACGTATATAAATTTTTCATAAATTTATGTTGCTAAGTGTTTAGGGTCAACAAGCAAAAACTTTCGTGAATTAAACCACACTGCACTTCTTATTGATCCTCTTCTACCTGTATTATGAAAATCAAATTTCTGATCGAGTGGTACGTAGTAATACTTCGAATACACATATTGGACATCATCTGAGTAGTTAATTTTGAATTGCTATTCTTATAACAGCAATTGATATGATATTGACATTAAATTTATAAGTACAAATGATTAGCAGTTTTGAACAATCTTGATAAGCTACTAAAACTCAATGGAACTATAAACAAATTCACGAGTAAAATTTAAACTATTTGTTCACCTGAATATTCACATTTTTGTGTATTTTTGCTTAGAAGTTCGTTCTCTTCTTCTATTTTCAAGGTGAGTCCAAGAGTGCTCAGCTTATAGAAGAAGAAATAGAAAGCAACCCAGCATTCCTTGCCTTGTGGCAGATTGAAGCTATTAGGTGGTATGCATGTAAATACTTTTTTTGTTAGGAAGATTTATGGTTTAATCTGGGCTTTATTGGAGTTGGAGTTGGTTTAATTGTTGTGGCATATATGAAATTTAAAATAGAAGAACGATCTTTGTAGAAAGTGAAAAATTGGAACAGAAAATTCACAAAAGAAAACAGTAACACAGCGGAACACAGATTTATGTGGTTCGGCAAATTGCCTACTTCCACGGACACGGAGTTGCAAAGACGGAGTTGCAAAGAATTTTACTACTTGAGGAATATACACCAATCGATCGTCTCGACTTACAAGAGGGGTCTCTCACTTCATTGCTCTCTCTTCTTCTCTCCCTACACCGAGATACACAGAAGAAGATAAACTTACAAGAGAAATAAATCTAATTTCTCTTCTGACACAAGTCATCAAGAAGAAGCCAAGGGAAAACAATCTTCTTCTTCTTCTTCTTTCTTCTTCCTTATTCCTTCTTCCGCAAGGAACTACTTCTTGCACTTCTCTTCTTCTATCCCGAGGAAGCAAAACTGCCGAATAAAAACACAAAAGAGTCCATATGAAATCTGAAGGAGAACCGCTCCTTTTATCACGAAGAGGAGGCAGAGAGGCGACATTTTGCGAAACAGCAGGAGAGGCGGAGAGCTGCGCCATTTTGCCGGTCGGGAGGAAGGCGGGAGCAGGTATGTTTCTCGGTTTTTTTTTGTAGACCGTCTCCACTTCATCAAATCTCTCACTTGGAGATCAGTACACAGACAACAACATCTCTTTCCTCAAACTGAAATCATTTCACTGGCGATGTCGCCCTTTTCTTCAAACATGAATCCTCCACCTCTGCAACTCAAAGCTCTTGTCTTCCCCCCGTAGACCAACTGAAGTTGCGCAAAACTTCAGTTTCTCAAGAGTAACACCCTTAGTCAACCCCTTAGTCAACCTATCAACAACTTGCACCTCCAAGCTATTTCCTAGGTTACTCTTCTCCTTGGGTTACTCATTTACCAGCTTACAACTCCCACTGCATGGGCAATATCCTGCCTATGCTGAAAGTTTTTTTCAACAAGTTTAGCTTTGTACCTCTTACTGCCATCATGCTCAGTCTTCACCCGACATTCTCACTTGTTGTGTAATGTCTTCTTCTCTGGTGAAAATTCTGTCAGCTCCCACTTGCTCGAATTTTTATCTTGCAAAATTTCTTGATAGCTCTGTGGTTCTCTACCACATTCAACGCTTCTCCATTTGTCATATATACTTTCCCAAAGTTACCTGGAACATAATTTTACATCAATTCCTGATAGAATGTTGTATGGAAAGAAACCACTGAATTCAATATTCAGTCATCAACATAACTATGAACTGCCAACAGTAGTGCATCTTGCACTTCTTCAGATACCACATTTGCGCTATCATTCTCCATCTTCTTGGGATTCCTGCAGTTCCTTTTTAAGATGATTCCAGTAGGTTGTCGGTTGACCAAATTTTGATTTTAATCTCCCTCTATTTGAGTTTCTGTCATGTGATCTCCCTCTGAAATCGACATTCAGTGTCAAACTCGTACCTGAGATCTTGCCAAAATCTTTCCTGCGCACCTTCTCAGCCAAAATCAAATAAGAAATATCATCATATTTCAGTTTAGATTTACTTGCAGAACTGCTAACTGTCATTCTCATGACTTCCCAACTATTTGGCAATGAAGTCAACAATATCAGCGCACGTATCTCATCATCAAAACTAATTTCAACAGACGACAATTGATTTGTGATAGTATTGGAATTATTCAAGTGTTGAGCAACAAAAATACCTTCTGTCAACTTCAAATTGAATAACTTTTTCATCAAGTACGCATTGTTATTCGCCGATGGTTTTTCATACATACCTAATAAAGCTGTAATGAGAACCGCAGCCGTATTTTCCTTGACGATGTTGTGTGCAACGGACCTCGATAGAGTTAATCGAAAAAAACCCAGAACTTGTTGATCCAACAAATTCCATTCAGTCTCATCCATCCTTTCAGGTCTTTTCCTCAATAACGAAAGATGAAGTTTCTTCCCATAGAGATAGTCATCTATCTGCATCCTACAACAACCAAAATTTGTGTCATCAAATTTATCGATCCCTGAAACATTCACTTCATATGCAGTCATTGTCTTTTCTCAGATCCAAAAACATGGACTCTGATACCAATTGTTGTGGTATATATGAAATTTAAAATAGAAGAATGATCTTTGAAGAAAGCGAAAAATTGAAACGAGAAAATTCAAACCAGAAACAGTAACACAACAGAACACACAGATTTACGTGGTTCGACAAATTGCCTACGTCCACGAAGTTGCAGAGGATTTTACTACTTGAGAAATATACACCATTCGATCGTCTTGACTTACAAGAGGGATCTCTCACTTCCTTACTCTCTCTTCTCTCTCTACACTGAGATACACTGAAAAAAATAAACTTACAAGAGAAATAAACCCAATTTCTCTTCTGCCACAAGCCACCAAGAAGAAGCCAAGGAAGAACAATCTTCTTTTTCTTTTTTCTTCTTCCTTCTGCCTCAAGGAACTACTCCTTCCACTTCTTTTCTTCTATCGAAGGAAGCAAAACTGTCGAAGAAGAACACAAAAGAGGCCGTACGAAATCTGAAGTAGAGTCGCTCCTTTTATCGCGAAGAGGCAACATTTCGGAAACACTGAGGCGGGAGTGGTTTTGCAAAACAGCAGGAGAGGCGGAGAGCTGCGTCGTTTCACAAGTCGGGAGGAAGGCGGGAGCAGGTAGGTTTCGTGGACCTTCTCCAATTCAACATTAATATAGGCTTAATTGCTATTAGGTGGTATGCAATGTAAATACCACTCAATTGCAAGAACAAATTGAAAACAAAGTATGGTTTAATCAGAGCTTAATTGGAGTTAGATTTGATCAATTTTGATATCATTGGGTTGATGTTGTTGAGATGGTCAATTTGACTATAAAATCATTCAAATCGGGTCAAAATTTGAATTTGAAAATTCCATTATTATAAATGCATCAAGATTCATGCATGATAATAAAAATTTCTGACACATCAATATGATAATTGTTGACCTCATTTTTGTGAGGTCTTGTCTTCT